AAAAAAAAAAAGCAGTGGAAAATGCATGCAACTAATAGACCAATTTTGAAAGTAAGCAAGGCCAGTTAAGAAGTGCTTGGAGGAAAAAAAACATTGTGCTGAAAAAGCAATGTGTCAGTGCAAGCGGGTGCATGCAAAAACAAAGAAAGGGATGCTAAAAAACAAAGCAATTCCACTCCAACATGACAGAGCAGGGAAGGGGTTAATCTTGGGAAGGGCTGTTATGAACTGGGTGTAACTGGGGCTATGGCAAGACAATAACCGTTGGTCCTGTCAGTGAGAGGAATAGGAGATGAGGAGGGGAGAGGGATTCGGATTTTTCCTCATTTTGAAATGAGTTTTTCACATGGTACCTTTTGCAATGAGTTCAAGAGCGGCCTCCGTGAACGGAGCCTGTCGCGGCCCTTATTCACAGAGGGAAGCTCCTGATTTGGAGCAGAATCCTTTCCGCTTTCCCCATTGCTGTGTTCGACCCCAAACGCTCTCCCCACGGAGCTACAAGGCGGGGTCGGATTTGCCCCTTTCTGGGGTGATTTGTGCACAGCCCTCCAGTGATTGCTCAGTGGAAGGGAGTGTGTGAGGGGCTGGGCGCTTTGTGCTGCTTTAGCAGGGCATGCAGATGCTGGGTCAGCAATCCCACTTTGGGTGTGGACGTGGGGAGAGGGAGGCAGCCTCTTTGTTCCATACATCACTAGTGGCACGAAGGATGGCTAGAGGCACGGGAGCACTGAAGGCTAGACATCGAGACATGCATCCGTCACTAGCATCTTACCAAGTCTCGGTGTGGGGGAGGAGGCGAGTTTAACCAGATCCCTTAGAAAGCGGGGGTGAGTGGGAGTTAAATGACCGTAACCACTGGGGACACAACTGAATCTGTGCAGTTAGGGATTTTAGAGCCAAAAATCCATGACCCAAACTCCTCCAGGCAAGGACCTTGGAAAGCTATCTACTAATCAAGGCCATTTTATGCCAAAGACTAACGAGAGAGAGTCAGCCCCCTTCCATAAATTAATACTGCCTGTTGATTCTATCAGAATGGGCTACCGAGGAGCCTGGGTGCAGGCTCTGGATCGGGGTAGTCTATTTTTTTGGGGGTCAAGGTCCAAATGAACAAGGTAAAGTCAAGGTCCAGACTCCAGAGAAAATACAAAACCAAAAATAATGATAATAGTAAGTAAAGATTTCAGGGTCCATCCAAAAACATCTGGATTTGGCCCGTGGTCTGCCTATTGACTGCCCCTGCCCTGGATACTGAATGTCTGTTTGAGTATAACCTAGTCAGGGAAGGAGAGGTAAACGGGTCAGTGGATCACAGGCAAACTTGTTCTTGTCTGTCTCCATTCAGGAAATAAAAGGGAATATACAGACAATGCTGTGCCAAATTGATCATAAGGACACAACTATTACTGTCCTGGAACAGGTCCATCCACTCTGGTGTCCCGTCACAGACAGACAGGATCAATGCAGGCACAAGGGCCGCCCCCTGCACCTAAGTTTGTATTCTGTACCATAGAGGGACACTTCTCCCTGACCCCAATGGGTGGGCAGCTTCTGAGGACTGAAAGCCCTTACAATTTCTTATCCTAGTAGGTGTCATTCTTGTTCAGATAATTGTCTAATCCTCATTTGAAACGTGCAACATAAGACTGATTAGTAAACTTACTTAAAGTGTAAACTCTTAGGGCGGGGGCCACCTGTCATATTTGTGCAGCGCCTAGACTAATGCGTTTAAGGCTTCTATGCACTACAATATAATAATTATCCTGTAGCAGAGAGTTCCATAGATTCATTGTGTAAAGAGTATTTTTTTTCATTCTACAACATTTGCTCACATGAGTAACCTTACTCGAGGGATTACTCACATGAGTAAATAGCACTTTCACGAGCAAGAATTTGCAGAATTGGGACCTAACATTGTAGCTTCTTAATTTCAGTGTGCCCCTTTGCCGTAGAATTTACACTACCACCTACCTCCTTAACATATGGGCTCAATACATTCGTCTTTGTGTTGGCATAAATACAATATTTCCGTTCCTTTACTTTAAATCATTTTGAGGACGTGTTCTACAGAAATCCTGTGGGGTGGGGGTGGGGAGGGGCGGTTCATGCAAACAGAGGTCTAAGAGGGCATGAAAGACATTATTCCAAGAAGCTTGCGGGGGGTGGGGGGGGAAGAAATAGGCTGCAACTTGCTTCTGAAATGCGGTGATGTGACAAGAAGGGACTTTTGTAGGCTTTGCCAGAGGCTGGAATTACAGAGTGTCATTTCCTATGGTGCTCAGAATCTTTTACCCAGACAAACATTTAAACCCCTCTCAGATCTTGAAGTCTCCAGAAGGGTCATTAGAGGGCAGCTGGGATTTTCATGTTGAGTCATCGGGCCATCTGGAGTGGAAGGTCGTTTTGAAACCTTCCTTTGCACATGGCCTGACAGTTTCTTTTGGGTCCAGCTATAGGGCTGCCAATAGTTCCTTATTAGAAGGGACGTCCCTTATTTCTTCATCTCTGTACAACAAGATCAGGAGTTGCTGAGTGCTGCAAGCAGCAGCAAGAAATACCCCGGCAAACGTAGGTGAACACTGCTTAGTATTAATAAATAAATAATAATATTGGGAGAAGGGGTGGGGCGGGGGTGCTAAGAATACAGTCCCTTATTTTTGAATACAGTGTTGTCAACTCTATGCTAAGCCACGTGTCCCCCATCCTTCCCACTTCTGCAATTCATCTGAGAAGAGCCGGTTACTAACTAACATTTCCCTTTACCTCACTTTTTCCCCTGGTCCCTGTCTCAGGATTGCCAGTTGTTCGTGTCTTAGGGCAATAACCTACCGTAAAGGATACAGGTTCATTCTCACACACCCATGCTGTGTGGATGGACACACAGAAATTGGACATAGTAACTATCATGGCTGAATCAAGTGGAGAGAATCCAGCGAACACTTATACTAACGACTACCTACTGCTCGGTGTGCTTTGTAATCTCATTTAGTAGAATTGTTATTGTGCCGTTCCGTGGCTAACCGTCGACAGGGCCATGGGACAGAAATAGCATTATTGCCGTCCTAGCTTGGTCAGTAGCATTGGTGGCAAAACAATTGCCTGGCCAGCAATTAACTGAAGAGAGTCTCATGAGCCTGTTAGCCGTTTAGCTTCTGCTTTGCCCTTCCAACCGTTCCTCTCTTCCTGCCCTGAATGGGTGTGGCACATGGAAGCATCGGCTTCCACCTTCCTTACCTTGTATATTACAACCCTCAGCTCCAGTCTGTCACGGGACATCCCACATTATACAGACGGGCTTACATTAACAACAACAGGCACGCAAGAGCCACAGAGCGATGGGCACAGGTGGGGGTCTGGCGGCTGTTTGGAGGGAGGGAGATTCACTTGTCCACTATTAAGGGGTTCAACTTCATTTCAGACCCTATATTGGAACTACAAAAACTGTCCCTGTGCTGGGCTGCAAGGAGATGGGGCAGCTCAAGGAGCCTAGCAGGGGTGCTGGAGCTGGCCATCTCAAAGGGGACAGGGCAAGGGGGTGGCTGTGACCGCCCCCTCACGGGCACTGAGCAGCAGAGATGAGCCAGGGCAGAGGGAGCAGATGCCTTCCCCCCCAGAGCCTCCTGGGTAATTATTTCTCCTCCTGCTGCTGCAGTGTGCCCACCCCTTCCTGCCTCCAGTGCAGGCTTCTGACAGCCATGCTCTACGCCTGGATGTTTACCTGGCAGTTTTGTAATTTTATACTTTCAGGGCCAGTACGTGCACAGGGAGGTGGGCAGTGCTTTGACTGGCTCTATTCCATTACCATGACACAGGCCAAGCAGGGCTTTGGGTGTCAGCACTGGGACAGCTCCATTAGCCACTGCAAGCTGCCATTTTAAAAACCAGGAGCCAGCTCCTCTGCGGGTGTCAATGCGCATGGCTCCATTGACGTCGGGGAGCTGCCCCAGTCTACACCAGCAGAGGATCGGGCCCAGGTGAGCTACAGGGATTGACACCAGCCAAGGATCAGGCCCACTATAATTAAGTTAATAGAACATAAAAATGTAAATGGGTCAAAACCATAGGTCTGTCCTGTCTGCTAGTCACAAACCAAACTCTTTAAAACAATATATTCAGGGGGCAAGGGGTGAGGCTCGACTAACAAATGCTTCTGGGCTGAAAACGTATAGACCAGAGGTTCTCAAACTTCATTGCACCGCGACCCCCTTGTGACAACAAAAATTACTACACGACCCCAGGAGGGGGACCGAAGCCTGAGTCCGCCCGATTCCCACTGCTCCGGGTGGGGGAGCCAAAGCCCGAGCCCCACTTCCCTGCGCAGGGTATGGATCAAAGCCGAAGCCCAAGGGCTTCAGCCCCAGCCAGAGGGCCTGTAACCTAAGCCCCACCACCCAGGGCTGAAGCCCTTGGGCTTCGGCTTTGGCCCTGGGCAGTGGGGCTCAGGCTTCAGCCCCAAGCCCCAGCAGGTCTAAGCCAGCCCTGGCGACCCCATTAAAATGGGGTCCCGACTTACAGTTTGATAGTCTACACCAGCGGTTCTCAATCTGAAGGGACTATTTACAGCTACGTTATTTCCAAGCCTCTCACCAGGAATGCAGATTCCTCTTTAACTGGACAGCTCCAAAGGGTGCTGCTGAACGTGAGTGTTTATTACGGCCGCAGTGTTTCCAGCCATGCCCCCCTTCCCACAGCTTTGTACTTCACGCTGTATTTAGGAGGGTGAGAAAAGGACTACAGAGCCTGTGCCAACTTCCCCTAAGTGTTATGGTCAAGCCAGGTGCTGGCATGATGCTCTGCTGCGTTCCTAGCCCGTGCCTAGGTGTCCGTATCAATAGCCCTGTGTGGCAGCTTATTCTTATGTTGTTGACCCATAAATGATGTTGCTCAGTTTGCTTGGGGATATCCTACTCCTGTATGAATCATCGATGCACAGAAGATGAGCTAACATGCACTCAACTGCGTCTCTAGTGCACGTGATCTCGTCTTCCTCTCTTCATTGGATTTGGAGCCAGTGACTCTTCTGTATCCTGCTCTCCGCTTGGGGAGAGGGGGTGGGGGAGGGGCGTTGCTTTTTCTCTTGCTGCGGTCTAGGGTCAAGATACACCAGTTCTCCCATGGCTCTGTCCCCCTGGGGACGTGCACGCACACAGCTCCTTCCTTCAGGGCTGCTGATTTCACCCTGCGCTGTATTAAGCACAGACTCAGCAGAGTAAGGAGAGCACATGGGACACCCATTTGCTGGCTCATGTCTCCTGGCAGCAATGCTCAGATTGAGCAGATGTCTTGTTTATTCCTTCATCTGAATCCTCCATGTCGATGGAACCAAACCCCAGCATCGTCCCTCCCCCATGGGACTTCTCTCATTCCTCCCCCTTCCCTGTCAGCTCCCTGCCACTCCTCCCTTCATCCTCCTCAGAGCATGTTCTGCTGAGTGCCTCTGTTTCCTGGCCAGATTTCCTCTCTTCTCCTCAGTTTCTCATCCTTCCCGGTGCCTCATGGCATCTCTATTTACCTTTGCCATACCCGAGTTTCCCTTGGGACTTCCGCCTTCCCTCCTAGCATAGAAAAGCCTCCCAAAGCTTGGTCCTGTGGATCGTCACATGATTCATCCTGTCACCCCCACCACCACCCAGGAGACTTTTCGTTTGCAAACAGTCTCCCAGGCTCTCCTGATGTCCCTGGTTAGCGTCACAGGATACCCTAAGCCCACAGGTGAGCTTTGGGACCATCGTCCCGACCAGGGCTTGTGCCAGGGATGCTGAGAGGAGAGAAGCAGGCTGCTGCTTCCCCGTTGATACTGCGAGAGCTGTAGGGGACAAAACTACAAATAGATTCAGCACTACAGTTTTAAGGATCTCACTGCTGCTGCTTAGGTAGCCCTGTCCAGCCTCTGACTCAGGCACTCACTCCCCCAGAAAGGGCTGCGGCTGAACTAGCTGTCAGCTCTCTCAGGGACTCTTGCTGGGACAGGGCAGAGCTGGAGTAGCTGGGAGCTTGCCTATAGCCTCTGCTTCTGTGGGCTCCCGCAGGGAATGGAGTGACTCACCTTTCCTTGGCTAATAGAATGAAACCTTTTCTACCCCTCATACGGTAGACAGACAATCTCCAATCTAGACCAGTGGTTCTCAAACTTTTGTAGTGGTGACCCCTTTCACATAGCAAGCCTCTGAGTTTGACCCCCCCTTATAAATTAAAAACACTTTTTATATATTTAACACCATTATAAATGCTGGAGGCAAAGCGGGGTTTCGGGTGGAGGCTGACAGCTTACGATCCCCCCCTGGAATAACCTCGTGACCCCCAAGGAGTCCCAACCCCCAGTTTGAGAACCCCTGATCTAGACCAACCCAGCTCTGTCCATTCAATCTGTTTTATCCAGCCATTCATCCAGATACTTAAAGGGCCCCCATCACAATAGTGCCTGTATCCAATATATTTCTGCTCCACCATTGTTAGGCAGCCTCCTCCATTACTCAATCTGTTTTTCTTGGGCCCTAGCATGGTTGTTTTATGGCTTTCACGCTATGTTTTTTTAAAAACGTAGCAACTGTAAGTGGGCCCTGAAGAATGGAGTCTAACTGCCTGGGTTCTCTCCTAGGACCTGGGATTGGAAGGTACGTGCCTCAGTGAAGTGCTCTACAAGAATGCTACTTTCCTCAACTTGGTGGACCCCATTTCCCACGACCTGCTGATGAACCTCGCTAGAGATCTGCAGTGCCCCAAAAAGGTGAAGCCCATTAATACAATGATCCCTTTGGGAGAAAAAGTTGACCCAGGAATGAGCTTATTGAACTGACCAATGCCACTCCCATCTCCGTTGGGTTTGGCTTAGGATCTGTAGTTCTCTAGAACCAGCTAACCTACTCCCTTGGAGTGACACATAAATAATCCCATAGATTAATGATGCTTTTTTTAATGACTTCTATATAAGAGTGTGTGTGTTAAGTGCAGAGAAGTCAGGAAATTCCCTCCCACAGCAATAGTAAACTCGGCCACAATGTGCATGGATGTTTGTGTACAAATGGGTGGACAAATGCAGGTGCATCTAGGAAATCCACCCGTGATTACAGGCCAGCGTTCATCATGCGGGCCCTTGACATGCATTCACTAACATGGTCTGGCCACACAAATAAGCTACATCCATGTAAAACTGGTATAATGGAGTGGAGGATGAAGCCCTCTGATTTGTGTGCCTATCCTACCACTGCATTAGTGCCAGCAGGATACTCTAGAGTTCCTTATTTAAGGGGGAGGAAAAATCAAATGACTGCACATCAGACTGAACAATGTATTGTACGGTGGGGTGGTGAGAGGCAGATGTGTGGGGCTCCAGCTATAGTTCTGCAATCTCCCGAATATCTCTGGGGCTCTGCAGATTCAGTGTTCCTGTGCGCACATGCAATCAGTCAGACGTTTAGCTAAACGCAGGTACCTCTAGATTGATACCCTGCGAGCCCTCTGTGTGCACGACTCCCGTTTAAGTCAGCCAGCTTCCTTTGCAGGAGTGGGTTCTTGGGACCCCAGGTTATTGAAAGAGCTCAGGGCCAGATTTCCAAGGGCTCAGCACCCACCTACTGGACTAGATATTTAAATGGGAGCGAACCTCATTTGAAAAAGAGCCAGATTTTAAGGAGTGCTTCGCCCCCGGCGTCTCCCATGAGGACACTCGGAGACAGATCTTCAGAAGAGCCCAGCGCCAGCCGTTTAGAGCTCTTTGAAAATCTGTCCCCAAGTAAGCGGGCTGAGCTCCTTTAAAAATCTGGCCAGTAGAGCCTGTTCCTGCAGTGCGCCGGGCTGCCCCTGTGACCTGAGTGGGAGTGGAGGGCACGCAGCACTTCGCAAGTTTGGGCCTTACATTGTTAAGGAAAACCCCGTCCAGCGTGCGCGCAAGGTGCTGCTTCAGCTCAGTTAGCGGTGCTGGGGGTCACACCCTGCTGCATGCAGGATGGGCAAAGGCAGTGTTCTTCCTACCAGCCCCCGTGGGACAGTTCAGTTATCCAAGCCCCAAAAGGTACTTGCACCATTTCCTGAATGCCTGACCCTGCAAACCCTCCCTCGTCAGACGTCCCATTGGTGTCAGTGGGACATGGAGGCTCCTCAGGTCAGGAAGGGTTAGCCGTGGTAGGCCATTAGCTCACAGAAAGCCTTCCACTCCCATCCTGCCCCTCCAATCAGCCAACTCACTATCAGCCAACCAACAGTTGGGAAAACCGTAAACACCCCCCACGGGCTGAGAAGCAGCATGAAAAATGCCCACCCAGGGGGTAATTTCTTTCCAAAGGTTATAAGCATCTAAAAATGGGGGGTTGCAATGAAAGGGTTTAAAGTTCTAAGTTACTTCACGCTGACTGCCTCTTCAACCCCACGAAGCACACTGCCTTCCAGGGGAGGTGGGGATATGGTGCTACCTTCTTCTGCCGGCCTATTGCTTAGCAGGTAGATACACAGAGTGCAATCGATGCCCCTCCACTCTGCTACACACCCTGAAGATGCCAAGCACCTCAGTGGCCCTGGAAGTCAATGGGAGCTAAGTTGAGGAGGGGATGGGGCTCAGCACCCCGCAGGATCAGACCCCCAGGCACATAAAGGGATAAATAGAAACAAGGCGGGTGGCTGAGCTCGTCTTTCTGTTTCCCATATGGGTACCCAGCAGCACAAAACTCTGGATTATAGACATTAGGCAAGTAATAGGAAGGCGGTGCACAATTTCCAATCTCAGTTAAAATCAGATCAGGTTTCTAGTTACAGGGACACCTAAGGATCCGGAGGCAGGGTCTAAGCTGTAGGAACGGCTGCAGCAAACTGCACTAGGCTATAAAATGAAAGCAGGCAAACACAAAGGCCTAAGGAGCTTGGAAAACACGTAACATGGTATGAGACGGCGTAGGTCCCAATCCCAGCCAGCGCAGCAGCGGGTTGCAGAGACGCAAGCAGGGGCATCCTAAACCGCAGGGCTCCTGCCAGTCAGAGTGGGATTCAATGGGGAGGGCTGCAGCAGAGCAGGTGTCCACAGTGCACCCCGACCAGCTGTTGGCTGTAAATGGCACAGTAGGCAATAGCTGTAAAGCCACATGCTGGCATTACACGTGCCCCATGTCCCGAGGGAGCTGGGATGCTTCAGCTGCTTCCTAGCAAAGTTACGGTGCCCAGAAGCGTGGTGCTCCAAGCACTTGCCATAAAGAACGAAATTAGCGTAATTATTGACAACTTTACCCATAGAGTTCCGAATTACACACACTGCGTTGCAGTCGCACAGCTAAGGGCTGGGAAGCCAGGCAGCCGTGAAGGTTTTTCAGACAAGACAGAGACATTTGGGAATCCTCACCTGATGACACTGTCTCAGCCTGGCCCTCTCTAAGCACTCACGTCGCTTTCAGCTCTGCCCGTCGTCATTCATCCCGCAGCATGTGCAAAGAAGAACTCGAGCAAGCAAATTCAGTTATTTCGGTGCCATCTTGTATCAGCGGGAATCACTGTAGGGAATGACATCAGACCACTGCCTGTGGGGAACGCAGCAGGACTCTTTCCAGTGGCCCAGAGCAGAAGTCACGGCAGGAACGTGGGGAGCTCATAGATACTCCAGTTCCAGCCCCTCCCAGCGGGAGGCAATGGGACAGGCGTACTGGTTGTTGAGCTTGCAGTACCTGAAGGACCGACGATAAATCACAATAATAATCTGATTTAGGGATTGGGAAATATTCTATCCGGGTAATTTTAGCCTGGCTGCGTAAAACTATGGCAGTCATCCTGGAATTTCTCTGTCCATACTCAAGCGGAATGTCCTACATTGGCCTGAACCTAGATCATTACAATGATTACTAATGAAGAGGGCAGCAAAGGGATGAAGGCAGCTCTCAACGCCCCATGTACACACACACACACACACACACACACACTCACACTCCCCTGCCGTTCCCTGGGTAAAAATCAAGTCATTTAATCAATTCCATTTGTTATGCAATGTGCAGCCTCCACCAGCCAGTAGTTCACCCTCTTCCCCGTCATACCTGCTGCTGAGCACTGGGCCCTGATAATCCCACAATGTTCCCATGACACTGTCACAGTTCAGAGCGACTGCACCTATATTCCCCCTCTGTGGTCCTTCCAGGGTAGGCGCTTTAGACTTCCAGCTCGTAGCTGTCACCTATCTTGGGTGAAGACCCACGTCTCACTCCATCCCCTGTCAGGGGTTTTAAGGCTGCAAAGCTCCATGGATTACACTGCAACATCCCCAGCAAGCCAGACTGTCCAAATAGGCCAGTGCCTGCACTTTGCTTTTCTCTGAGGGCTATGACCCATGTATTGCCCAAAGTTATAAGTTACCATACAGCTCCTTCCAAGCAAGCACCTTTATTCTTAAGGTGAAAGCATTGCAACAATAAAGACACACTAGAAAGTTTAGCAGAAATCACTTCAAATCAACCTGTGGCTCTGGTAGGTTTTAGTCCTTCAAACCCCACAACTGGTTACAAGTTCATCTGTCATAAATCCAGCACCGGACCAGACACTGCGCAGATCAGCCATTTCTTTATACAAAGGCCTGAGCTGATCTTGGCCTTGTGTAAAAGGTAATCATCAGACAGGGACCCTCTCCTCAGGGCACAGCTTTGAAAGGCTGAGTTTTTGCATAATTGAAATGAGAAATTTGCATTCACCTCACCCTAGGAATTCCCCAGGAAATCCTCTTTCCACTTATTGTCCAAAAAGTCCAGATTTGTCTGGCACATTTGTAGTACAGTCTTTTGAATTCCCATGTCTCTCATCTGTCACATCTGCCCCCCGAGAGGTTACTTTTATGTATCATTGTGGGTCAGGATTGTATGTAATACAGTAAGGTCTTCCTAAGATATTGCAGGAAATTGCCCTGTCAGACAGATGCCTCTGTGCAGGAGACAGACAGGTGGGCGGAGGTGGAAATCTTCTACTGCTTGCCCCCTCTTCTCTCTCACCCAACTCTGTTGTGGGCAGTTACTGCAAATATCCTGCAAACCTCTGCCTTGCATTCCCCATGCAGACAGTCACACTCAGGGCACCAGAGAGGGCTGCAAAGGGGTTGCATTGCTGGACCCAGAATTCCTCCTGCAGGTTTCCACGGTTCATAGATCAGGGCGGTAGCCCTGCTTCCCTTGGAAAGGGGTGCAGTATGCTTTTCACTCCACACCACAGCACCTCCACAAGCCAATGCCAAGGTAGGGGGTGGGGACAGAAACAGGGCCATGGGCCCTCCTCCCCCCCCAGCTCTTTTCAGATAGCTACTGCTTGACATGGGCACTAGGTGGGATGCTGGCCAGCCTCTGCACAGGTGTTCAGGGGTGGGGGTAGCTCCTTGCCCCAAGGCTGGGCAGAATCTGGTCCTCAGTGATGCTGCAGAAACCAAAGCTCTATGATCCTCCCATTTAAAACAAACACAAAACCTGCCGAGCGCAGCTGGGAGGGTGGAGTTTGACAGGGCTAGAGTGGCTGTGCCAGGACAGGGATATGGCACAGTCCCTGTGTGCTGGGAACACTCACAGGGATCGATTCGCCACTGCCGTGCACCTTGGTCACCTGTACAAAGTGGGGGATAACACACTATTTAATCAGTGGGAGCATCTTACAACCACTTTGCCCTGATGTCAGCAACTCCACCACCTACCTGGCAATGGAGAATCAGGCCCCGAGAGTCTGTCTCCAGCTTCCATGGGCAGGGCCCAGTTTAATTATTTACGGTCTTCATACCCTGGTGTTTTGCAAACAGCCTCCCTGTTCTGAGTCACTCCTAGCACAGCCAGCCTGATGGGTGCCATTTATTATTTAGTTACTACCAGATGTGCCTGATTCTCTAGAGCAGTGGTTCCCAAACTTGTTCCGCCGCTTATGCGGGGAAAGCCCCTGGCGGGCCGGGCCGGTTTGTTTACCTGCCGCATCCACAGGTCCGGCTGATGGCGGCTCCCACTGGCCACGGTTCGCTGCTCCAAGCCAATGGGAGCTGCTGGAAGCGGTGGCCAGTATGTCCTTCGGCCCGCGCCGCTTCCCGCCGCCCCCATTGGCCTGGAGCAGCTACCCGCGGCCACTGGGAGCCACGATCGGCCGAACCTGCGGATGCGGCAGGTAAACAAACTGGCCCGACCCGCCAGGGGCTTTCCCTGCACAAGCGGCGGAACAAGTTTGGGAACCACTGCTCTAGAGACAGTAAAATAAGGCAAGATCCTCGCTCTGAGGAGCTTGGGCCCAGATTTTTAATTTATTTAGGTGTTGCTCTGCTCAACATGGCAAGGCCTAAGTAACTTAGGAGCCTAAGGGCTTGTCTACGCTTACAGTGCTGCAGTGGCGCAGCTGTAGCATTTAGGGAAGATGCCGTCTATGCCAACGGGAGAGCTGCTCCCATCGGCGGAGGGACTCCGCCTCCACGAGAGGCAGTAGCTATGTTGACAGGAGAAGCCCTCCCGTTGACAATGCTGTATACATGGGGGGCTAGGGAAGTATAACTAGGTTGGTCAGGGGTGTGGATTTTCGGAACATAGTTATCCCACCATAAACTGATAGTGTAGACCAAGCCTCAGTCTCATAGAAGCCTGAGTCCCATTGACTTTCAAAGCCCTGAATCACTTCTCAAAAGGGGAGTTCGCCATCTATGTCATTTGGGCCTTGCAGACACTGAGCAGAGAAACATCCACATGCCGTTACAAATTTGGGCCTTACAATCTAATCACCGTGGCGTTCCACCATGGGTATCCAGTACTCACAGAGATCGTAAGCAATCCCTTCCCCTGGAGCACTCAGCCTGTCGGGATGGACCGTCTTGGGCAGGGGTTCTTCACAGATTTCATTCTGAAAAGCCCTTGCTAAGAATCCCTCTCCACACGCTGCTCAAGTCTCAGAATGGTTCATCCCATCACAAAGGGCTTAGTGTGAGACTCTGCGCTCTAGGATGGCTTCTTATACAAAAAGAAAGAATAAAACACGTTCAAAAAGAGTTATATTTTGAAAGTGTCTCCACAGGGGAGCTCGGCTAATGCCTTTCCCCACCCCAGCCCCAAGTTATACTCCCTGGAACAGGTCAGGAAAACAGTTTTCTTTGAAATTTGTCATGTTTTCACAGAAAATCCCAAACACCAAAATTGTGGGGGTTTTGGGCAACCAAAACCTGAAAAAAGTTTCCCCAATTTCGGCCTCAGGAAAACCAATGTTTTTCATTTTTTGGTTGTCAAAAATGGAAATTTTTTGGCTCTTCTATAAAGCCTCCAAGTTTTCAATGAAAAGGGAATTTCTCTGGTGAAAGTTTCCATTTAGTTGAAAAACCATTTTCCATCCCCCCAGCCTGACCATCTCCCCATTGTTCTGCTCCGCCATGGATCCGTGCTGTTGGATGTATTGTGCTGATTGCAGAGTTCCGTTCCCACGGCCCATTCAGTGAGGTCACAGCTCTGTATGCTTTCTCAGCGGGTGGTGGAGTAGAAGAATAAGTTAATATACAGTTCTGTTTGTTGCCCTGAAACATGTTGATCATAAGCTGTTGCGGGGTTCCATAAATGGAGACTGAGCTTGCCCATTTATAGTTTTAACTATATTGTGTAGCCAGTAGCATATGCTGTTTTTCTGGTGTGAGTAATGTCATATGCTGTGGCATGTTCGAGATGGAGACCCTTGGAGGGCTACAGTGAATGATGTGACCGGGGAATGGGATTTTATCGTCTCCTAGTAAGTCTTTAGCCTGAACTTTGTGTACGTTTTTGCACGTTTTCAGGTGCAATGTTAAAGTGGGGGTGGGACAAGCCAGTGATACAGGATCACCTGGGAGCAGGGAACTGGCTGGATTCCAGAGCTGTTCAATTCCAGATCTTCTAGCCTGTGCAGTGTTTGAAGGCGCAAATATTTTCCATGGATGGCAAGGGACGAGAAGGCTTCATGTATAGAGCTGTAGTTAAGTTGCTACGTTTCCCTCCCAGTCTGAAGAGGGCAAAATCCAACAATCCCCCCATCCCAGAGCACGCCCAGGGGTTAAAATATAAATACCCACCCGCACTCCACAGCCAGAGCAGGAACTATCGATCAGAGCGTTAAAACAGATCCCTGCTGGGCAGGAAGCCCCTGACAAGAGGGTGACTCCCAGCCTTGCTCCCCCGGGCCACGTGCTGTAGGGAACCATAGGCACCCCTGAGGCACTGCAGAGAGAGTTTACAGTGGTCTCAAGCCTGACCTGAGGGGAGGAGCCACAAGCCTTCTCTCCAGATTTGAGGGTGGGGCGGGGGCGTTCCCTTTCCTAAGCCGAACTCCCAGCTCTGGAGTTCCTGTCACTAGTGCTCTGTCCCCTTCCCTTTGCTTCCCCCTTTCACATTCCTCCTTTCACTCTTCTGTTTCCCACTCCCTTTCCCCTGCCCGTTACCTCACCTCCTGTTGCCCCAGTCCACTGCCCCATCTTTGCTTTTACCCCTCTCTCTTGTTCCTGTCTCTATCTCACCTCCCCATCCCATCTGTCCTCTCGGAGGCTCTCTAGAGGTTCCGCGTTCTCCTGGTGGCCCAGGAGTGTTTCCAGGATGCGCCAGAGTCGCGGAGCAGGAGGCTGAGCTGTCCCTTTGTTTCCAGGAATACGACCCCTGGAAGTCCGCGGACAGGATCTGCAGGCAGCTGATTTACCACTTGAGCCCTCACTCCACGTGGCACAGGCACGGCATGCCCCGCAGGAAGTCCCAAGCATGGTGAGCAGCTCAGCTGGGAAAGGGAAGGGGAGGTTAGGAGGGGATCTGCTCGGTCACAACCAGCTGGGAGAGGCCTCTGTTCACTGCCACGGTGTGTGCTAGCCCAGCCCTCTCTGCACCCTCACGAGCCAAGAGAAAAACCACATTGAAAACACTTGGGTGGCTACTGAATGCTTCATTTGATTTGGATCTCTTAAAGGTACCTCAGACAAATTGTTCATGGCCAATTTATGATGACCTCGCAGGCTTCATTTGTTGTTATTTCTTTACGGCCCCTTAGGCCTTAAAGTTCCCACAGCCGCCCAGGGGGAATTCCATCCAATAACTCCTGAGTTCCTGCAGTACAGACAACGCTTCCTGGAGGATGGGTGTGTGTGAAAGCTCCAGGACTGTAACTTTGCATGAATTCGGTGTTGGTGAAAGGTGCGAGACGGGCAGCCCTGGGGACTGACGTGACATCCTCCGCTGCACTGCAGCTCAGGAATAGCTGGCCACAAGCTATTCCGATTCTGATCTTGGTTACAGCAGCTTTACCCCTCTGCAACTCCATCCATTTCAGTAAAGTTACTCCCGATTTACACAGTCTGCCACGGAGTAACCATGGCACCCTGTTGGGACTGCACATGACTTTCCAAGACCAGCTTCTAGTGCTCTGCTGAGACAGGGTAGCCAGGTAATGCCATTTTTTGGTAGTGGACTTGTGTGATCTCTCTCAGTATTTCTAAAGGTGTCTGCTCCCATTGGTATCTAAGCACTGATGCCAGGGAATAGGTGTCTGAGACATGCTGTGGACACTTACACTTGGGGAAGGGGACTAACACCACCAAACTCATTTCACATGGGCCACCAAAGAGCCATCAGACAGCAACAACTTCTAGCTACAGCTGTTCCAGGCAGAATTTAAACCAACAGCTTCACCGTAAAGGGCTCCCTATCCTAGTAACATCTCGAGGCTCCTGAGAGCTTTCCTAACCCGATAAGGTTTGTCTCCAGACGTTAAGAGAACCCACCACTTCACCGCTCACCCTGGTGTCAGAGCCATGCCCTGATATCAATCATTCGGGATGCCGAGGAAAAGACAAATAAATAAAAGGAGCCTGGGCTGGCTTCTGCCACATTCGCATGGCACCAAGTGACTTCAGCATTAGTCAAAAGACAGGGCTAAGTTGACCTCAATTTAGGAAAGATGTTTGATTTTCCAAACTCCGAAACATGAATGAAAAATATATCCCACTACGGAGCACTAAATGGCAGCTTTCCGTTACCCGTTGTAGTTTAACGTGAAGAACCAGAGTTAAACATGGAAACCCCACTTTTTGACGCGGTTGTGGTTTTTAGCCTAACATTTAGTTCACAGCAAACTGGGGGCTGGTATACACTGGAAGTTTACCATCAGCATAGCTGTCTTGCTCAGGGGTATGAAAAATCCACACCCCTGAGATGTAGCTCTGCCAACCTAACGCCCAGTGTAGACGGGGCTAGGTTTGATGGAAGAATTCTTCCGTCAGCCTAGCTACAGCTGCTCGGGGAGGTGGATGACCTACACAAATGGAAGAACAACCCTTGGCACGGTAGTGAGTGTCTGCACTGAAAGGCTACAGAAGATATACGCATGGTCTTGGAATTGGGGAACCACCTGAAGAGGTAGAGGGGGAGGGAGGAGGCTAGCTGTCTCCCCAAACCACTTTTGAGTAGCAGGCCACTGCCATTACCCTGAAGAGACCTAAAGGTCAGTGAAGGTGCCAATGGGGGCTGTTATGGGTCAGGTGGAGTTGGAGGGGCCTATGGAGGGGCAGACTGGCCAGATTCCAGTGCAAAAAAAACTTTGGAGAGGAATCTGAAACCTGGTGTGTCTGGCCTGGTTCTACATATCAGTGTGAAACCTCCCCTGAGCCCCAGTTTTGAGACACAATGAAGCTGTTTCCTCGTTAGACTCCAACATCAGCGCTTGATTCGGCTCTGTTGGAATTCTACAAGGATTATAACTGGGAAAATGCACCATCCCATCCGATACAGCATCGCAGAACAGGACGAACAGAGCAGGGGCAGTGAATCTTGTACAAGTCTGCAGTTACATACAACCCAGGTTTGAAATTAGAACAACAACAACAACAACAACAGCTGTAAATGGGGCTTTAAAATCTCCCAAGAGGCATGGTCACCTGGAGGATCCAAGCCCAAACATAGCTGCAGGCCTTGACGTTTTCCACAGCCTCCATTTCCAGCTGCAGCACTTCTGTGGTCAGTAACACACAGGAATAAGCAATGAGACAACAGCTAGATTGTGTATGATGGAGGGAAATGTATGTAGGTCCGAAATGGGCAGCGCTACCTTGCAATCAGGTATAGCTAGGTGGTGTTAGGGTCACACTACAGGCAGCCTTCCTCAGTTTCCCCTCCAGATTACTCAAATAAAGTTCACTTCATTTTTTTTTCCTTAGGTGAAATACACCCCTCCTGGGAGACCGGGCTTATTAATACAAAATACACTGACAATAACTTCAAACCCCAAAACAAAGTCCATTCAGAAGTGCACAGAACCCAAGATTTCTCTTCATCCTCCCAGGCCACCCTGCCTGGAGACTCTGCTACAGCTTCCAGCGCAGCCCCGTCCCTCTCCCTCCTCACTGCAACTTCCTGCTCCTTTGATACTGGAATCACCCAATTCCCTTCAGGTGGGGCTCATCCTGTAATCATCGGCTAGAGAGCATGGAGCTAAGCCAGCCCTGGAGTAAGCCACCCTGTTACATACCCAACCCCGCACTGAAAACCTTGCCCACCCCAGGGCAACTTCTACTTGAGGGAATTTTTCGTCTTTTCTTCCCTAATTACTGAGGTCTTCACAGCTTGCCGGACTGTTTTCCATCTGCAAACCCTCTAGCTCTCCTTCAAGTTCGCTCTTTTCCCCTCAGGGCCAGCTCCTTGGCTTCTTCCAATGCAGCCAATTTCTGTTGGCTTCTCTGCCGGAGAGGTCAGACTTTCTCTAGCCCCTCCTGCCAGCGCTGCATTGCACAGACTCAGACTTTAAGGGACCAGAAGGGACCATCACAATCATCTAGTCTGACGACCTGCACAGCACAGCCACAGAACCTCACCCATCCACTCCTATCATAGACCCATAACCTCCAGCTGAGTTACTGAAGTCCTCATATCCTGATTTAAAAGACTTCAAGTTACAGAGAATCCACCATTTACTCCAGTTCACACCAGCAAGTGACCCATGCTCCAGCTGTAGAGGAGGGCAACACCCACCCCCCAGGTCTCTGCCACCCTGACCTAGGAGAAAATTCCTTCATGACCCAAAATATGGTGATCAATTAGACCCTGAGCTTGTGGGAGACCCCCACCAGCCAGACACCTGGGAAAGAATTCTCTGTAGCAACTCAGAGCCCTCCGCATCTAGTGTGCCAGCTCTAGCCAATGGAGATATTTGCTAATAGTAGTCATGGACGGGCCATATGCCATTATAGCCAATCTCATCATACCACCCACTCCATGAATTTATGAAGCTCAGTCTTGAAATAAGTTAAATTTTTTTTTGTCCCCACATCTCCCCTTGGAAGGCTGTACCAGAGCTTGACTCCTCTGATGGTTAAAAAACCTTCATCTAATTTCAAGCTTAACAACATATTTATGGCCAGTTTATATCCATTTGTTCGTGTGCCAACATTGGCCCTTAACTTAAATAACTCCTCTCCCTTCTTGGTGTTTATCCCTCTGATGTGTTTATAGAGGGCAATCATATCTCCCCTTAGCCTTCATTTGGTTAGGATAAACAAGCCAAGCTCTTTGAGTCCCCTCTAGTAAGGTAGGTTCTCCATTCTTCTGGACATTCTAGTAGCCCTTCTCTGCACCTGTTCCATGTCTAAGGAGGATGAATTCAAACTGGAAGATCAGAATTACACACAGTATTCCAGATGAGGTCTCACCAGTGCCTTGTATAATGGTGATAGCACTTCCCTGATACATCCTAGGATTGCAGCCATGAAAAAGGCTAATGCATCACATTGGCGGCTCATAGTCATCCTGTGACTGACCAATACCCTGGCCTTTCTCCTCACCTCTTGTTTCCAACTGATATGTCTCCAGCTTAAAGCAAAAATTCTTGTTGTTAGTCTCTAAATGTATGACCTTACACTTTGCACTATTACATTTCATCCCATTTCTATTGCTCCAGTTTTCAAGGTCATCTAAATCTTCATGCATGATGTTCTGGTCCTCCTCCGTATCGGCAATACCTCTCAACTTTGTGTCATCCGTACATTTTATTAGCTCACACACTTTGTGCATCAAGGTCACTAATGAAAGTTTTAAATCAGATTGGTCCCAAGACCGATCCTTGAGGAACTCCACTAGTGAGTGCCCTCCAACCTGACAGTTCACTTTTCAGTATGACCCACTGTTGTCTCCCCTTTAACCTGTTCCTTACCCACCTTTCAAGGCTCATGTTAATCCCCCATCGTCTCTAATTTAACTAATAATATCCCATGCAGAACTGTATTAAATGCCTTACAGAAATCCAGGTAAATTAGATCTACTGCGTTTCCTTTGTCTAGAAATGCAGTTATCGTCTCAAAGAAAGATCAGCTTGGTTTGGCACGTTCTACCTTTGGTAAAACCATGTTGTATTTTATCCCAATTACTATTTACCTCTATGTCCTTAACGATTTGCTCTTTCAGAGTTTGTTCCAGGACCTTGCATACAACTGAGGTCAAACTAACAGGCCTGTAGTTTCCTAGCTCACTTCCCTCCCTCTCGCTTCTTAAATATAGGCACTATATTTACAAGTCTCCAACCAGAGGCCATGACCCTTGAGTTTACAGACGCCTTAAAAATCCTTGCTATTGAACCTGCAGTTTCATTGTAAGAGGTGCTGCCCTGGCTGCAATGTCCACTTTCTCTGCAGCCTCAGTGTTGGCCCCCTCTCCCGAACACGAACACAACTCTGCCATTCTGTCACCACCCCACATTTGGGTCATGTTTTCCCAACAGCCAACGG